TTCTTGCCGCCGTCGCCGCCCATATCTCGCATGGTGCCTGCCATTAACTCCTGGATGGCTGCGAAGGACTCGTTACATTGGAGCGATGGCATTTGAGACGACCACAAACGAGGTTTCAAAGCGCTTGATCAAATCTTGGCTGTGCTCCGGCGCTTCGCCGAGATCCGCCACAGATTTTCCACCACGGCGCGCCGCAGAAACGATGCGCTGAAGCTTCTGAAGCACGCTCTCGGACAACAGATATGAGCATTATAAAGAGCAAGTGCTAATGCTCAAAAATATAGCACGCCACACGCTTCGCCCTCGCCTCACGATGTCGTCGCCCCGCATCATCATAATCGCCTTGGCCTTGGCCACGGGGGCCGCCGCCCGCATCATCGTCGGCGGCGAAGAATCGAAGCCCTACTCACGCACCCACGTCGTCTCGCTCATCGACAAGTTCGACGACCATAACTGCGGCGGCTCGCTCCTCGACGGCGGTCAAGTCGTCCTCACGGCGGCCCATTGTTTCTTCAGCCGTGAGGGCAACCTGCTCCCGAACGTCGCGCGCGTGTATTCGGCCGGCGTCCACCTGCACGACTACACGAAGCTCGACCACGTGTGCTCGAAGATCATCGAGGTCGAGAAGGTCCTCATCCACCCCGATTACGATACGTGGACCAGCGAGAACGACGTCGCGCTCATGTTTCTGTCGGAGCCGGCGCCGTGCGCGGCGGACGGGCGCACGAAGACCGTCACCCTCGATCGCTCCGATTCGTTCGACCCCTACGTCGGCGAGAAGCTCATGGTCGCGGGCTGGGGCGCGACGAACAAGCAGGGCTCGAAATACCCCAACAAACTGCACGAGGTCGCGCTCGACTTCATCGACACCGACGCCTGCGCGTCAAAGTGGGGGCCGGGCTACATCTCTCCTGATGTGATGCTCTGCGCGTGGGACCCCAACGAGGAGAAGGATTCATGCTTCGCTGATTCCGGCGGCCCGCTGTTCGTCGACACCGCCGACGGCGGCGTCACGGAGATCGGCATCGTCAGCTTCGGCCCGCCTACGTGCGCCGCGTCGAAGCCGGGGGTCTACGCGCGCGTCTCCCACTTCGCGGACTGGATCGACGAGAACGCGTTCGTCACCGAGGGAGGCGGCTCCCTCTCCGAGGTCGAGTCGGGCACCTGCGCTTCGTCGTGGACCACGGGCGACGAGGGCTGCCACGAGACGCAGATCGACTGCCCGCCGACCCCGTGCGACGGCGACGCGGGCGGCCCCTGGTGCGTCGACGTGGGCGGAACGTCCTGGTTCTACTGCGCGCCCGAGCCCGTGACGACGACCACGACGACGGCCGCGCCCTTCCTCACGCAGATCGAATCCGGGACGTGCTTGCCTTTCTGGACCACCGGCAACGAGGGCTGCCGCGAGACGCAGATCGACTGCCCGCCGACCCCGTGCGACGGCGACGCGGGCGGCCCCTGGTGCGTCGACGTGGGCGGAACGTCCTGGTTCTACTGCGCGCCCGAGCCCGTGACGACGACCACCGAAGTTCCTCATTACGGTCAGATCGATTTCGATTCCGGCACCTGCGCGTCGGCGTGGAACACCGGCGACGAGGGCTGCGAAACCGTGACGCAGGTCGGGTGCCCCGCGGCCCCTTGCGACCACGACCCCAACGGGGCCTGGTGCGTCGACGTGGGCGGGGCGTCCTGGTTCTACTGCACGCCCGAGAGCGAGGAATTTCTCGAGAAGATCGAGTCGGGAACCTGCGCGTCGGCGTGGAACACCGGCGACCCCGGCTGCGAAGAAGTGGCGCAGAGCGGGTGCCCCGCGGCGCCCTGCGACGGCGACAAGAACGGCCCGTGGTGCGTCGACGTGGACGGGGCGTCCTGGTTCTACTGCACGCCCCCCGAGGGGGTGACGACGACGGCGAAGCCCTCCTGTCCGGCGACGTGCTTCGGGCAAACGTGCGATCACTGGGCCGAGGCGGACGGCGATACGTGCGCCGAACTCGAGACGCCCTTCTGGGGCTGCGACTGCGCGGGTTGCGCGTGCCCCAACGACACACCGTCGTCCTGTCCGGCGACGTGCTTCGGGGAAACGTGCGATCACTGGGCCGAGGCGGACGGCGACACGTGCGCCGAACTCGAGACGCCCTTCTGGGGCTGCGACTGCGCGGGTTGCGCGTGCCCCAACGACACACCGACGTCGACGGACCCGTGCGCCGTCTTTAGCAAGAAACGGTGCAAGAAGCAGGGCTCGTGCTCGTGGAACAAGAATTCGAAGACCTGCTCGGACGGCTGCTCGGCGATCTCGGACAAGAAGGCGTGCAAGAAGAGCCAAGCTCCGTGCGAGTGGAAGCAGAAGTTATGCCAGGCCGTCGATTGCTCCGGCAAGTCGAAACAGCAGTGCAAGAAGGGCAAGTACAAGAAGGCGTGCAAGTACAAGAAGAAGCGGGGGGGGTGCATCCCCAAGTAGCCGACGCCAGCGTCGCGCTCCGCGCGAGCCTCGAGTATATCCCGCCGCGCTCCGCTCCCCCCCCGCGCGCGAGCCACTACGGTGACACCCTTAATCCATCTCGCCGTAATCCTCGGCCCGTTCGGGCTCGTCGGGCTGGTCGTCGGCGCCGACCTCGGCGCGCAGGAGCATGTTCGCGAGGTCGCTGCAGACGCGGGCGATGTGCTTGCGGAGGATCTCGTCCTCGGACAGCGTGGCCTCGTCGGGCTCCGGCGCGTCGTCGGTCGTGACGAGGACCTCCGTGTCGCCGCCCGCGTCGGCGTCGTCGCGGTCGTCGCGGCCCGGCGCGAAGGCGAAGTCGCAGTCCTTGACGACCGCGTAGGCCCGCAGCGCGCGGAGCCGCTCGCGGCCGCGGCGCGTCGACGCGAGGCAGAGCAGGGCCTCCAGCAGGCTCAGGGTCACGCGGGCGTCGGGCTCGCGCTTCTTCGAGTCGCCGAGCGTCTCCGCGGCCTCGCGGAGGACCGCGGGCAGCGCGGCGTCGCTCCAGTTCGCGCCCCCGGGCAGCGCGAGCGCCTCGTGGTCGTCGTTCGCGAGCCGCGCGGCGTCGGACGCGTCGGCCAGCGCGAAGAGCGCGAAGGTCGGCGCGTGGAGGTCCGACAGCAGGTAGAAGTGCTCGTCCTTGTCGTGGCAGCAGTGGCGGAGCGCCGCGGCGACGCCGCGCCGCTTCCCCGGCGACGCCGCGCCGAACGCGTCGAGGTAGCCGTCGAGGAGCTGGGGCAGCAGCGCGCCTAAGATCTTCGTGCTGCGCCGCAGGAGCAGGCTCCGGAACGTCGGCTGGGCGCTCAGGTTCTGGAGGATCGCCGCGAAGCCGTCGGCCCACTCGGCCGCGGCCGCGGCGGCGCCGCGGCGCGCGAAGCGCTTCGTCAGCGCGGTGACGGCCTCCTCGCGGCGCGCGACGGCCTCGGCGCCGCAGGGCCGCGTCGTCAGGTTCTGGAGGAACATGAGCGCCGACCGGCGCGTCGCCGCCTCGAACGCGTCGCTCGCCGCGGCGACGCACGCGGCGTCGACGGATTTCGGGCTCGCGAGCGCACGCACGAGCGCGTCCATGGCCGGCTCGCCGCTCGCGTTCGCGAAGGCCATGAGGTTCACGAGCGCGCCCAGGCCGTCCCGCAGGCCCGCGCGCGTCCGCGCCAGCGCCGCGACGACGGCGAGGCCCGGCTTCGACGCCAGCAGGAACTCGAGCTGCTGCGCGTCCTCGCTGTAGGCCAGCAACGCCGACGCCGCCTCGCGGCGGAACGTCTCGCCGTCCTCGCCGGCCATGGAGAGGTTCGCGGCGACGACGGACAGGAGCTCCTCCATCGTGCCGCGGCTGTGTCGCCAATCACGATGATCTCACGATGCGGCAAATCTGCAGCAAAGGTCGACCTCGGCTGCTGCGTGCGGACCGGGTCAGGGGCGGCGGGCGTGCTCTCGTCGTGCGGCGTAGACCTCGACGGGCCGTGTTTCGGCGACGTCGTGGTTGTCCAAGTCCGTATTCTCCCGAACGACGGCGGTGACGGCGCGACGGTAGACCTCTTCATCTCATGGCCTGGCAGAGCAGCTTCGCCCAGAGCTGGCGCCGGCGCATCGGCGCAGGCGTGTCGGACCAGGAGTGGAACGGGTTTTGGGCCGCGCTACCGCAGAGCACGCAAATGACGCCGGCGCCGGACGTGTCGAAATGCCCGCGGTGCAAAGTCCCCATCAAATTCAACCGGCACATCGCGCTGGGCCACTCCGGCAAGGCGCCGAAGGAGAAGAAACGATCCTATCAAAAGACTCAGACGTGCAACGGCGAGCATCTCGGCAAGGAGTGCGTGATCATCGTCCGAAGTTTTTTCGACGCGGGCTTCGAGCCCCTGGACGAGGACGACGTCACGGACGACGAGAGCAAGGAGGAAGCCGTCGAGGAGGCCGAGGTCGAGGCCGAGGCCGAGGCCCCGAGCGAGCCGGCGGCGCCGCCGACGCCGTCGAAGGTCGCGCTCGAGGAGTGCTCGCTGCACGTCCGCGACGCGGACTCGCCGGAGCCGAACCAGCCGAAGCCGCGGCGCCGCGAGCGCAAGCAGCGGCCGGTCGTCATCCTGCCCTTCGCGTCGGCGGCGGAGAGCAGCGCGGCGGGCGACGACGTCGACGCGACGCCCGAGGCGAGCTTCCGCGCGGAGCTCGAGAAGGCCGCGCGGCCGCCGCCCGCGGCGAGCGACGATTCGGCCGACGATCCTCCGGAATCCGACGCCGCGGACGGGGAACAGCTCGTCGACGACCTGCGCGACTGGCTCGTCGCACATGGTCTGACGGAGCTATTGGCGGGAGATCTCGGCAAGCCGGACGGTTTCTACGCATTTTATCCGCAGCACCGCAAAATTAACGCCAGGCAATCCCGAGGTGGAGGCGGCAAGATTCGGACCGCCGTCGCGAGCTTTGGCGCCAATAAGCTCCGATGGAGCGGTGACAGCATCGTCCTCGTCTCTCGGCTCGCGCCTGCCGCCGCCGTCCGCGCGCCCGCGCCGCCGCCGGACGACGACGTCGCGCGCGCGATCGCCGCGTCCATCGAGGAGCAGCGGGACGCGCTCGACGTCCAGATCATGCTCGCCGAGGACCACCTCGCGCACCTGCGGGCGCAGCGGCGCGCGCTCGACGCGACGGCCGCGGAGGCCGCCTTCGCGCGGGCGTCGGCGGC